AAAGTGGTAACTAACGCAAGTGGTTCTAAAGTGGTAACTAATGCAAGGGATATCCAGAGGTTTCACTTCCGTCCTTGTTCCCTTCGCCCTGTGTTTCCCTTCTTCCCATAGAGAATCATTTTAATTAGTACTAGATGTATGTGTGTATTGTTTTAAAAATACATATATTTTTTAAAGATTTACTTATGTATTTTAGAGAGAGGCAACGCACATGTAAGAGTAGGGGCGTGGGCAGAGGGAGAGGGAGTCTTCAAGCAGACTCCCCAGTGAGCACGGAGCCCAACGCGGGGCTCAGTCTCGACCCGTGAGATCATGACCTGAGCCGAAACCAGGAACCAGATGCTTAACTGAGCCACCCTGGCACCCCTAAAAATACGTATTAACCATGTAAAATGAAAAGCACTCTCCTCCCTTTATCACAAAGGATAGCATACCCTACACTCTTGCACCCTTTGCTTTGGCACTTTACAATGTATCAGGGAAATTCTTTCTTTTTTAACTTTGTTAGTTTGATCCTTTGTATCAGACTGGTTTTGTATTTGTGTCCTATTTAAGTGTATTATGAGATGTGGCAGTCTGTTCTTTAATTGTCCCATAAAATACTGGGCAAGTTAATGACTTCATGGAGTTGTACAAAAATGTCTTTTTTTTTTTTTCCTTCTCATCATAGAATAAATGGCTTATTATTATTTTTTTGTTGTTCTCTCTCTCAGTCTAAAGGAATTCCTGCCCAAAGAATACATCAAGCAGAGAGGAGCTGAAAAGAGAATATTTCAGGTATTGGAAATGTACAGAACTTTATTATTCTCCTCACTCCCTAGCTTCATCTATTAGTATGAGAGGGGCCTCTGCACATGATAGTTTAGTACCCCATACAGGTACTCTGCTTATATAATGAATGATTAGTGACTCAAGAGTAAAGAAGCTGACAGTTCTACTTTGGGCAGATTTATTATCTTAATCCATACCTTCCTGCTAAAGGTTACTTAGTCCTTCTGAGAAAAATGTGCATACATTTAATTTCAAAGGCATTATCTTGATAGTGTCGAAACAAGGTGATCTGCTCTTAAAATGCACTGAAGAAGCCGCTACAAGTAACTTCTTTGTCCTGATATTTGTTTTTTGAAGCTTAGAATTTGGAAACTGGTGTCTTTTTAAAATTCAGGTTTTTTTCCATAAACGTCAGAGAGTTTTCTCTTCCAGGCAAACGGTAAGAAAAGCCCTATCATCAACTTTGCCATAAAACAATCACTCCAGTGAATCCAAAATGTTAAAGTCTTCTTCAGTATTGAAATGTAAATATAAGTTGAAGTAGAAATTTCGTCTGTATAAAATGCACACAGTCTTGTTTCCAAGCACTCTGACGTGCAGGTATTTATATATTCTGCTCTTTGGAAAACCATGTATTTTGGGTGGATGTTAGAATGATACCTCTCCTGGAGAACATTATTTTAGCTCTACTAAATGACTCTGCTCATTGGTTCTGAACCTTTGGGGATATGGAGTTCTTCCAAAAAGTCGACTACACTTCGGACCCTGGTCTGCCATGCTACATGGCATGAATTGTTGCCTGTAGGTGTAAAATCTGTAGGGAGTTTGGGCTCCAGTTGCCATTAAGAAGCCCTGCATTCAAGCTATCTCTGTGCTCTGATCCTCGGTCAGCTGGTACATGGGTCACAGAGGGGTCTCCGACACAAACGTCAGTGATTGATCATTCATAGCAACTTTATGTGCCATATGTTGTAACCACCTCTACCAAGTCCACGTGCTGGCAGAGCTACAATAACCAGCCCTTGCTGCTGTCACTTGTAGGAGCATAAGAACTGTGGAGAGATGAGCGAAATAGAAGCCAAGGTCAAGTATGTCAAACTTGCCCGATCCCTCCGGACGTATGGTGTGTCCTTTTTTCTGGTGAAGGTAAGTTGGGCAGCGTGTAGAGTGCAGCAGGTGTTTGCTGGCAAGCTTGCTTTGTTGTCCCGAGACCCCTAGCATCTGCAGAGGTAGCATCTGGCTAATGGTTACCTGAGGTTAGCCCATGGGACAGACACGAAGTGTGTAAGCCAAAAGGCTAGTGAGTGAGCCTGGCCGCCTGTGGGCCTCCAGGCACTTGTGTCTTGTCCTGGCACAGTCGCTGCTATAAAGTCACTGAAGGAGTACATTTATGTCTACTTGTCACTTCCCTCTGAAAATGTTTCACTTAAGATTACTAAGAGTGCCGTGGTCTAAGTGAAGGTTGTTGATAACTGCATACCAAATTGAATTAATGTAGTCAATACGGTACTTACTTTGTATACTTTCAGGTGGGCTTTGGGATTTTCTGTGGCCTTCAGATCTGATTTCATGGGAATTGTTTGCCTTCCTACTAGAAGGAAAGAGGTGGGTCTTTGAAATTCAAGACTGAGGCCCTCGATGGGTGTGTTCTTAGGTGGACTGATAGCGCTCTCATTAGCTTCTTTCCTTTGTACCTCCCAACCTCACATACTCTATTTTAGTCATCTCACTAATAGGTTTCATTGATTTCCACTGGTTTTGCTGTGACTCTTGGCTTCCTAGCTCTTGTCCTTGGCCCTGGAAGAAAACTCACCAGAGGAGAGTGTTAACCAACTGTGCTCAGCTGCCCCCAGGGACAGAAGTCCCAAGGCTAGAGTCTGGGCACTTTAAGAAGCTTGCTTTCCTCACTGCTAAAGAGAACTAGAGAAGAAGAAAGTTACAATGTCCTCTTGGATGTTTGGGGGTAGAGATGTTTTTCTTGCCTCTACTCATTGGAGAAAGCTGCTTCATTTGGGCTGAGGAGACTCAAAGATGTTACACTGAAGAAGGGGATACACTTCATGCTGATGAGTTACTTAAACCAGACAGCTCTTGGTTTTACACCCAAAAATGCTGGGCCCTTGCAAATGATGAAAGCATAGGTGAATCACTTTGTTTTTCAGAAAACCATTTAGAAGTTGAATTTTTTCACATTTGGTGTGAGCTTTAAACTATCAGTGAATTTTTGAATGGGATTGATGCCTTGTAGGTACAAATGACTCCATTTCCCTGGAATGACTCTGCTGCCTGAGCTGAGGTGAGCCCATCTGAACTGTAGTCACCTGCTTTCATCACCCTAGCTCCCCCACCATCACCATGAGCAGATGGTGAGATCTGCTTGTTTTAGAAGTAAAAACTGCTTTTCATTTATTATTCTGAAGAACAGTAGATGGCAGATGAGTTCCAATATCTCATAGGGACAACAATGAAACAAATTTTGAGCATGTCCAATGCTTTGGTCTCAGTTTCCATGCTTTCTTGAGTTTTTCTGTAGTCTTTCATGTATGAAATTCATCTCTTATATTCATATTGTTTTCCATTAATACCATCACACTTGGATGTGCATATAGGTCAGTAAATTTAGGAAAATATGTAGCACACAGAAAACTACATGTAATTAGGAAGAACACTTGAACATCAAGGTCCAGAAAAAAATAAAATGTTCTCCAAGGCTAATTTATGGCCTGAGAAAAATTTGTCTATGGCTAGTAGGATAATTCAAGGTAGAGCACAAATTTTCTGGTTATTGCAAGGTCTTGTAGATTTGGTTAAATGAAAACTTCTTTTACAAAAGTATTTAAGGCAAAATAAGAAAGTAATGGAAATTTCCTTCCTTCCTCCCTCTCTCCCTTCCTTTCTCCTTTTCTTCTTTTCATGTCTTTTTTTTTTTTTTTTTTTAACTTACATGCCTTTGAAGAAAAGCCAGGATCAACTTTCATATACATGTTAGGTATTCCGATTGTGGTTTTCTTTAGTTTTATTTTTTGTCACTTTATGAAAGTGAGCACACTGCCCACTTTAATTTTTTGCTCAGTGGTCATATTTATGTACATTTTATTTTAGAATTTATTTTGATAGGGGCACCTGGCTGGCTCATTTGGTTGAGCATCTGACTCTTGACCTCAGCTCAGGTTGTCATCTCAGCTCCATGCTGGGCTAGAGCCTGCTTAAGATTCTCTCTCTCCCTCTCCCTCTGCCCCGCCCCCTCCACTCATGTAAGCACATGCTCACTCTCTTAAAAATGAAAATTGATTTTGATAAATAGTTTGCATGACTGCAGTTTGCCCTATTTTCAAAGTAGTACAATGAGAATTCAGGAGTAATTTAATACTATGGATTAATGAACCTCATAAATCAGATCAATAGGTCAAATAAGATGGTCTCATATACAGTGAACTATCTGGAAAAGAAAGAAAACAATTCCATTTACAGTAGTATCAAAAATAATAAATTACTTAGGAATAAATTTAACCAAGGAAGTAAGATCTCTACACTGAAAAACTTTAAGACACTGGTGAAAGAAATTAAAGACAATACAAATAAATGGAAAGATATCCCATGTTCATGGACTGGAAGTGTTAATATTATTAAATAGTCCATTCACTTAGCATAATTTTCAGCCTACAGATCTCTGTACATGCTATAACAATATATAGTCCTTTTAATTTTTAGATTTATTTTTAAATTGAGTAAATTGGTCAAGTAAATGTGTAAGACATGTCAACATGAAATAACATTTGCATGTATACATAAGCACAACCATTTAGAATATATGATGAAAAGAGATCCTGTACAGAATAGCAGACACACACAAAAATTGTATGGCTAAGGGACAGTAAGATTTTTGAAGGTATAAATAACAGATTTCTCTAGAACCCCAACCTAAAAATACCATTAAGTTGTGAAGGAGTTTCATTGGCATCATTTCGGAAGTTAAAATTGAGTGATTCTAGCTTCTCATTCACTACTTGTATAGGCTATTAGAAATTTAAGTAAGTCAAATTATAATTTTTGAAACATTTAGATACTGATATTGAACACACTTAATCATACCACATGGCCTTAGGATTAATCATAGATATTCTCAGAGTAGTTAGATATATTTACAGGTCCTTCTATCATATTTTCTTCTATATCCATGAACACGTTGACCTAATTTTCAGAGCATTATACTTTGTTGTTATAAAAAAAAAAAGTGCTTGGGTATTGGAGTCAGGAAGATTGGCCTGGCATCCAGGATGGCAACATACCCCTATGTGGGAAACAGCAGAAACTCGTACAACTTTCAGAGATATCCATAGCCTCCCTCAACCTCAGTTTCTTCATCTGAAAAATGGGAGTGATAATGCCTTACAGAGCTCTAGTGAAGATTAGGCGAGATAATATATGTAAAAAAATGTAATGCCTGGGGGGCGCCTTGGTGCCTCAGTCAGTTAAGCGTCTGCCTTCCGCTCAGGTCGTGATCTCAGAGTCCCCACATCGGGCTCCCTGCTCACAGGAAACCTGCTTCTCCCTCTCTTCCCTGCTTGTGCTCTCAATCGCTATCTCTGTCTCTCTCTCTCTCAAATAAATAAATAAAATCTTAAAAAGTATGTAGTGCCTGGGCGCCTGGGTGGCTCAGTCATTAAGCGACTGCCTTCGGCTCAGGTCATGATCCCAGGGTCCTGGGATCGAGTCCCGCATCGGGCTCCCTGCTCGGCGGGAGGCCTGCTTCTCCCTCTCCCACTCCCCCTGCTTGTGTTCCTGCTCTCGCTGTGTCTCTCTGTCAAATAAATAAATACAATCTTTAAAAAAAAAAAAAAAGTATGTAGTGCCTGGAAAGTAAGAATATTTGATAAATTTTAGGTTATCCCTAAACCCTTTCCACATCTCCCTAATCCCTGGCAACTGAGTCTTCCAACTTGCAATTGGCTTTTATCACCCATGATGTAGAGCAAGAGTTGGCAAACTTCTCTAGTAAGGTGTCAAATGGTATCTTAGGCTTTGCAGGCCATACTGTTCATCTCTGCCCAAGTGGCCTGAAAGCAACCATGGGCAATACGTAAATGAATGAGCATGGTTAGGTTCCTGTAAAGCTTTATTTATGGGCTCTGAAATTTCAATTTCATATAATTTTCATGTGTCACATAGTATTATTCCTCTTGTGGATTTTTTTCTTTTTTCCCAACTACTTAAAAATGGAATATCCACTCTTAGCTCTCAGGCCATAAAAAAGCAGGCAAAAAGCTAGGGTTAGCCCTGACTGTAGTTTGCTGACTCTGAGGTAGAGATGTTTATAAGCCATTTAGTGAATACACAGGGAACAGCTTTATGTGGCAGTATTTTCAGTGGCTAAAAACATAAGCTTTGAAAGGAAACACCGAGATTTGGATTCTGGTTTGCCACTTAGTTTTACCTTAGATAAGTTACTTTACCTTCTGTCTATGCATGTTTGCTCACCTGTAAAATTGTGCTTTTTTATGAGGTTTAAATGAGATAATAGAGAAAAGGGGACTATGGCATATAAGATCTTAATGAATGGAAGCTGTAAATGTCCACAGTCTTCCTCTTATATTGGCTTCTTTTGCATTTTGTCTTGATACACTAATCAAAACCCCCTAAGCAATGGTAAGCCATTTCCCATGACCTGCAAAGGATCTTGTTTCATTCCAGGAAATTCTTGTGTAAGCCTTCTTTCTCATTTATAAATTTGTCTTTTAACTCTCCCTTTAACCACAGCCAGAGCTCTGAGGTGTGAGAAACCTGGAGAGCTGATCCTCTTCTCCTCTTAATTATAAAAGCATCACAGGGGGGCATTTGGAGCCTCTCAGAATCGTGAGTTAAGTTGAATAGATGACCAGTTGTTAGAGAAAAATGGCTAATGAAGAGGATCTTTAACACCGTTTTGCTCTTTTTTTTTTTTAAGTTTCATTTATTTAAGCAATCTCTACACCCAGCGTGGGGCTTGAACTCACGACCCCCAGATCAAGAGCCACATGCTCCTGCGAATGAGTCAGCCAGGCACCCCTGACACCATTTTGCTCTTCAGCAGCCGTCCCTTTCTGCCATGGCCCTAAAAGAAATGTGTACTGATAATACAGCAAAGCACACAAGCCAGCACTTTGGGA